AAAAATGTCTCAAGGCTGAAGTTCTAAACTCCATAACTCAACTTATGTTAATCGGATTTTGAAGTGGCATACCTCTAAATGTTTCTGGCGCAATTCTCTATACATCTGCATTCAAATTTAGAAATTTTTTTTTTTCAACTTTTTTTGTGATTTTTCTGGTGTATGATGTTGTAGAAATTCAAAGAAATTAAAAAATGTCTCAAGGCTGAAGTTCGAAACTCCATAACTCAACTTATGTTAATCGGATTTTGAAGTGGCATACCTCTAAATGTTTCTGGCGCAATTCTCTATACATCTGCATTCAAATTTAGAAATTTTTTTTTTTCAACTTTTTTTGTAATTTTTCTGGTGTATGATGTTGTAGAAATTCAAAGAAATTAAAAAATGTCTCAAGGCTGAAGTTCTAAACTCCATAACTCAACTTATGTTAATCGGATTTTGAAGTGGCATACCTCTAAATGTTTCTGGCGCAATTCTCTATACATCTGCATTCAAATTTAGAAATTTTTTTTTTTCAACTTTTTTTGTGATTTTTCTGGTGTATGATGTTGTAGAAATTCAAAGAAATTAAAAAATGTCTCAAGGCTGAAGTTCTAAACTCCATAACTCAACTTATGTTAATCGGATATGATGTTGTAGAAATTCAAAGAAATTAAAAAATGTCTCAATTCTATCTTGTTATACAATGTAAATGTCTTATGATACTTTTATTTATTTGAAGAAGCCAGTTGAATCGTAGATATGGCATTGCCAACTCTGTTCCAACTAAGTGATGATCAAAGTTGTGCTGGCTCACAATGTAATGGCCAGAACATCGTCAATATCAATATCTGTCCGGTGTGATAAATGTAGCAAGTGCGGCAAAAACCGCAGCAAGAAGCGAATACAAAATTCAATTAAAAAATAGTTTCTGGCATTATTTAATGCGGTAACATTTGTTACCCACTGAAGCCGGGCAAAATCACTGCATCACCGCCAACTGGGGGAAAAAATCGCATTAAAAGCCTGCGGAAAGAAAACAAAAGCAGCAATCCCTTTGCTTTTCCGCATTTCCTTCGTGTTGTGCCTCGATTTTTGTTGTTTCTTTTTCTTCGTTTTGTATTTTGGCCGTGTTTTGCTTTGTTACCCAAAGCGCATTTTTCACTTAGCTGGCAGTTTTGCTGCTCGTCTCTTCTCCGGCGGGCTTTGTTTGCGTCTGTTTTCCGCGCTGGCCAATCACGCATCTGGCCAAAGCCCAGTCCCGGCCCAAACCGGCCCAAACTGGCCCAAGCCGGCAGATAAGGCCCACAACAGCGCCAAAGCCAGAACACAAAGAGCGGGAGCAGCGAGGAGTACACAGAACACAGGGCAGAAACAACAAAATCGAATGCAATTTATTTTCTAGTTACTGTTAAGCTGATTGCAACTGCGATGGCGAGGACGATACCGATTCGATGTCCTCCCAGCCTCCAACGGTTCGGCTTCTGGCTCTTACACGGCAACAAATACCTTAAGTATCTTAAACTGTGATTATAATAGTAGCAGTTGAGGCCATGACCAAGTGCATACGGTTTTTAAAACCCCATTGCATATCAGCAGTGATATACCCATGTATACATTGTCTTATAACACATTTAAAGCGGCCTTTTCTCTGTGTAAACTCTAGTCCTGTGAAATCCTTTGATCTGCACCTGTTTTCCCTAGTCCTTTTTTGACCCCCATGATTCTGCAGTGAACGCGTAAAAAAACTTTGGCAGCCGCGAGCTTGCTTTTAAAGGCCAAAAGCGTCACTTAAAAGCAAATCAACAGAGCACCAATGCTTTTTGGCTTTGGAGTTGAAAGCCGCAGTTCCGGAACTAGATATCTGTAGATCGTGAAATATTTGAAAATTAAAAAGATTCATTTTAAGAAAGTATTTATAATTACAATTTCTAAATCTGTAATCATAACTTACATTTTAGGTCTGTGCCTATCCCCTTTATATTACCAACTTCTACAACATTTTAATGCACCACTTCCTTGAAACTAGTTCAGTTTACCCATCTCTGACCCATCTTTTTTGACCATCCAGTTGACAAGGCCGAAAGCAAAAATTCCAATTTAAACGTCGTGTCAAAATGGCAAATCAAAGTTTAGGGTTCCCGGGTCCGCAACTTTCACAGAGTGTTTGTATGAAAATTGCTTGATTGAATGCCTGATTGAGTGACTGACAACTGGCTGACAGCGATGGCGGCGCACACATAGCGGCCAGAATGGACAATTGCCAAATCGTCCCAATTGTCCCCACACCCGGATTCAAATGGGTCTGAGGTACAGAAAGGAAAAGGGTGAACCAAATGGTCGGTTAATTTGGGGCAATCAGAGGACAAATTGAACCCATAGCCGTCTCAGAAACTGCAGTAGTTTCGTCACTTTTATGTCCTCGATTTGGGGGTGGTATTACAATTGCAGAAAGGATCAACCAATGATGCATATTGATCCAACAGAGTTCTTTTGCCCTTGCCTCGGGCAGCTAAATGGGATTCACAATCCCCACAGTTTATGCAAATATATTTTCAGATTGATTGGCTAGACAAACTGTATTACAGACAGAGAAAATCTATACGACAGATATGGAGTAGCTGTTAGGCTGGTAAAGGAAATATTATTTAAATATTCCTTATATCCCGAATATGCTAATTTAAAACCTGAGAGGCAAAATCAAACTATGGCATGTGTTATAAACGAAGGCCCAGCCTAGTCTGTAATTTTCCAGGTCCTGCAACACGGAACGGGTACTTGCCCCATGATCGTATCTTGCAACTCCCATACGGCACTTTCTGCGGAAGGAGGTACTTCAGCTCAGGACCTCCAGCCATTAACACGTGCTATTCTGGCTGAGGGTGAAGTCCACCCCTGATTTTCTGTCAAACGCTTTCGAGGGGAACAACGCGCATGTAATTGTGTCGCCAGGACAGCCTAATCCGTAGCCCGTGGCCACTTTTGCCGCTGCCACTTAAAAATCCACTTAATCCCGGCGTCTTATAAAAATAAGAGAAGAGGTGGAGGGGAGCAGGAAAGTACAAATCCGGGGGACTGAAAACGTAGAGCCAAGCTTAGCCCCTTGCTCTGACGTATTCAAACTGCAAGTCGATTGTTATTTTTACGCCAACGGCGGAAATAGACATCCTGCCTCGCGTCCTGCGAACAAAAAAAAACTTTAGCAAAACTTTTGTGGAAAGCGCGGATGGGCAAACGGGGAAATGGCTAAGGAAAAGCCGGCAAGTCAATGTCGGCTGAAGGAGTACATTTTGTGCGGCAGTTGGCCAAAGTTTTTCCCCCAACTGGGCATGCTATATGCTGTACAGCAGGACCTTGCCATTATTGAAAGTGCCCGTTGAGTAATTTAAAAGTTAGCCCCCGGGACTCAACTTGCAGTGGCCCATTGAACCAGCAGAGGTATCGGGGTCAAATTGATTCTTAATAATAACAAGAAATCAGACTTTAAATCATGTGCCTGTGCAAGGAAAACTTGTTGTTTCCGCTTTGCCGATGCATGCAACCGATTGCCTCTCAAGTACATAAATTCCTCAATAATTTCAGCTCGCCAAAAGTTTTTCTTTGGCTTTGTAGTTCATAAAAAAAGGCCAGCACACTAGGGCAATATTGGCTTAACAAAAGTTGGAGATGGCAAAACGAGGGAACAATATGGTATTGTTATTTTAGCAATACAAAAAAAAATATATCTGTATATTTAACACAACTATAATAGTACTTCATTATAGTAATGACTTACAATCGCTTCGTGACACGAACGAAACTAGCTACCCATCCCTAGCAGTCGCTTTTCCAATTCGATTGCTCCAAAACAAGATTAGTGTTTGGGGCCAACGAAATCCGCTTTTATTACCAAACGCATTAAATATTCTTGCGTCATTGGACAAAAGCCCGTCCTGGGAAAAGGAATTTGTGGTGCGTGGCGATGGATATACACATAGCAATGGGAATCTGGAGAAGGGAAAAGGACTCAAGGCGACTATGTGTCGGGGCCATTTGGGATTTGTTTTACAATTTAGTCACGCGCCTGGCTCGTTTCTTTTTACGTTTCGTGCCCACCTTTTTAATTAATTTCTCCTTTCGCCGCTTTGCCAACTCGGGAAAGCCATTTATGCGCTTCAAAGAATGCTCGTTAGGGATCTCTGGTACGCTAATGGCGATGTCCATGCAAATCAAAATGGCGACACGGCGACTTCCGTTTCCGGCGCACACTTTGCAGTGGCTGCACGGTTTCCCAGGCTCCAACTTAATCCTTCTTCCCGCACATTTGTCGCATGCGTTAATTTATGTTTGCCTAGTTTCAGTCCCAGTCTCAGTTTCAGTTGCTGCTTCCAACTTTGGCACTTAATTAGCATAATGAGAGGTTCTCGGCTGCCGTTGCCATTGTCCTGTTTACTGTTTTACCTGCTGCAACACCCGAAACGAAACTCCTTCAGCAGGAGTGCATTTAGCTAGTTTGTTGACTTTTCGAGTGTCTGGCAGTTGCACACTTATGGCCAAACTTTGATCAAACACTGAAGATTTCATCAGCTAAACAATGCCGCAGCCTTAAAGTATTAAGGCCTGAAAAAGTAATTAAGCCGGGAAAGTCCTATTCATTTGAAAATTCACATCAGCAGTCACCAGGTATTTAATATATTCAAATTACACCACTTTTCCCACTTTTACACCGCTTATCTGGATTGACCTCAAATATGTTATCTCCTTCTGAATAAACTAGTACGTATGTAGCTTAAGCCGCATATTAAGTAAAGTTAAGTACGACTTGCATTTGACTAAGGCCCACATTCTGTGCATTCAAAACTTCATAACGCCAAAGAAAGTTTTGGAGCATCCATCCACATGTTCAATTGGAGTTACAACTTCCCAAACTTGAACGGCAAAATGTTTGTTTTTTTGGGGCTTTCGGCAAAAGATTTCATTAATATTAAAAGAGGGGGCTCCTTATGGCCACAGAAACTAAATGAAACGCTTGTCAGAAAGCTGCAGGAGCACATATACACCCAGCCGAAACTTGGCCAAAAGTTTGCCCACCGCACCAGGAACTCCTTTCCAGAGTCGAACGCAGCCAGCTGTGCAATTTGCTGGCAAAACTCAACAATTTGTGTCTCAAAAGCATAAGGACTGTCCAGGAAGTTTGGGTGATCCCCCCGCTGGGAGTTGGTCCTCGAAGTTTTGGCCAACAGCCAGCTGATGAATAACCCTCGCTTTTATTCAAGAAAGAGATCGGTACACATCTTAGTCATCAGGTATTTCACCATCTTCCAGGGAGTCCTTTTTGTGCAAGCCTTTGGTGAGATCCACTATGGATCCTTCAGTGAAAGCCCTCTTCTTGTTTAGTGTCTGCTTTTTCAATCCCATGTCTATTTCGGGTTTGGGCAAAGGAATTTTGCTGCGAGCCCCGATAGCCTCCTTCGGTGCGTCGTCCTCCTTAAAGGAGATTGTTTCGCCCGGCTTTAGGCGATCCACCCAATCGTAAACTCCATTGGCCATGGGCATCCAGAACACGATTAGCAAGTCGCTGCTCACGAACATAGTGGCTTTCGGATTAAAGCGCAGACATCGAACAGGACCAACATTGTTGCCTTTGAGGACTGCCACAGGATATCCATCGTCAGCCCGCCAAATGTGAATCCGGCCCTCATCCGCTCCTGAAAGGATGAACTGCGAGTCCGGCGTGTAAGTGGCATCCAGTGGCAGCCTGGACTGATTCGAATAGCCAGTAAAGGACTGCCGGTAGGTGCCATCAAAAGCCGAGACACTGAAGCACCATGAGTGGTCCGTGCTCAGCAGCAGGGTCTTCCCGTTGGGAGCGAACTGCAACTGCGTCCAGTTGGCCCTGTCGTTCACCTGGTACACGAACTTCTGGCACGGCTCCTCGCCCAACATCCTCACATCGTGGATCTCGATGCATTCCGTACCCGTACTGGTTGCCAGGACCAAGCCGGCAGGATCAAAGGCGCACAGCGGCCGCCGCTTCTTTATGCAGTGTGTGTCAGTGCTGGTCCGGAAGTCCCACATGTAAATGTGATCATCCCGCCCGGCACTGATGAACACATTCTCGTTGCCAGGCTGAGAGGCCAACCTATGGACACTCTTCGCATGACCCCCGAAAACTCGTACGTAGAGGCGGGTAGTTAGATCCAGGCATCTGATGGCGTAGTCATGCTGTCAATGGTAAATTTAAATATTCATCAATTTTCATTTCGAATACATACAAAGATATATACACGTAGGAATAGGAAAATGTAATATTTTGAAGTAGAAAGATTTCATTTCATTTCGGCAATTTGTTAAATTGAAAGCCATGCCAGCCCATGTCTCCCAGCCCTTTTGCATCAAACCGTGTCCTTTCGGCCATTCACTCTGTGTACCCTAGCCCCACCGTGCCCCCCTTTAAAGCCTCTTACCTTTGAGGTGGAGTGCAGGACGCGCGTGTCCTGCTGGGTGAAGCAGGCCACGTCGGGCAGGTAGTGGTGCATGTGCACCTGGCAGAGCTCCTCCTGTCGAGTGCTGCTGAAGATCGAGAGGGCGGATTGGTCGCAGAGCAGCAGCCGCAGTCCATCCGAGGAGAACTCTATTGCCAGCTTGTGCTCGTCCGTCTCCTGGCACACCTTGGCCACCCGGAACTGGCGCATGGCATCGTCGTTCAACCTGATAGACATTTCCGTTAAATCTGAGCTGTGAAAAAAAGGCTCTTCGAATAGAATGTGACGTTAAAGGCACTGGCATCTTGGATAACTGATACAATTTATTTAAAATATTTCAATTTTCCATTTAATAGAAGCCATTTTCGAGAGTACATTGTTTTATTATCCAAGGCGATGGAAAATCTCGGCTTTCTTAGCAATTAAACTAAACTAAGCCAAACTTAAACTGATTTTCTCTCTCACAAGCAAATGCCACTAACTTTATTTCAAGTGGCTGACTTTAAAACTAAATTAAGCCGATTTGAGTTTGCCCCGGATCAAGTTGATTAAATCAAGTGTTGAACCGTCTGCCACGCCCACCGGATCGCCCACTGGCACAGCTGGGGATGCATTTTAATTTCCTTTTCGCGTCCAACTCCCAGATAGCCTTGTTCCCCATCATTGCGCCTCATTAGGGGAGTGGGTGTTGGGTGGTTTTGGCTGGAAATTGAAGGAAAAACTGTCTGCTGAGTTGGCAACGCAGCTCGCCATCCGCTCCAATCTCCACTTGTTGACCAAACGCCAGCAACTTGTTATTTAGGCCGATTTGTGTCATTAGTGCAACGAAGGACCCGCTCTCCTCTAAAATATTTTCGCTGCGGACGCTGTCGAGTGGGCAAACATTTTGGCAATAATTGAGGAAAATACCCAGAGTAGAAAGTGAACTTTCAGACAGCGAAGTTTTCTCTGTCTCGACGATTTAGGTTGCCAAAAATGAAAAGTTGCTGCCATGGTTTTAGCCACTTTAATAAGCTTATCCAGCCGGGAGCGCTGATTCTAAAATATCAATTAATTATTGTTCTACTTTCAGTTAACCTTTGCTTATAAAAAGTCCTTACTTTCAAAGCAGATTCAATTCAATAAGAATTGGCAAGGCTGCGCAAATGTCCTTGGGTTCGCCATCAAATGCGGATTTGTGCGGCGACCTCGGACTTAGCACCTGCCCCCATCGATAGCCACCACCAGGTGATTGCGATTGTGGTCGAAATGGGCTGGATGACCCTGGCAACGAGGATGCGCATGAGGATGCTGATGCTGATGCGGATGCGACTTGGCCCGAAGGCAAATGTAATTGTAATGTAAGCGGAAATAAGCGACGCGAGGACACGCAGTGCTCACTCCCATCTGGCGTCGCGTTTTAATTAAAATTTATAAGCCTTGGTCGGGGATTTGGCAGCGAGCCACAGGATCCACGGGATGTGGATGCCGGCAGGAGCCGAAGGTTGGATGGCAGGAACAGGAGCAGGACGAGATGGCACGGCGTTTTAAGCTTTTAAGTTGCGGTGGATTTGCGAGGCTGCGAATCGGATTTTATGTGAAAATCAACTGCGGTGCGCATAAATTAAAAATCAGCCGCAACAACAAACATCACATGGGTGTGTTTTCCCTGTGACCCAGTGGGCGTATTATTTGTAATTAATTTGCAGTATTAGCTTTCTCGCAGAGCCACAGGTATTTGCATTGATCCCAGGTGGAAAAAAATAACGAAGAAGGCACAAAAAATGGGCTCTCAATTTGCGCATTTGCGGCTTTGATTGTTGAATTAAATTGAATTTATTTCAACAGAAACAATTTCGCATTATCCTTATTATCCATTTCGATGGCTCTCGCCATTATTGTTTTCGATTAAATGTTATTAATAAAATCAATTATTATTATTGCTGTTATAAAAATTGGAATCAATAAAGCTCTGACCTCGACCATATGGCCAAATAAAATCCTTTGACATTAATAGGGTTATTATTTGGTTCAGAATTAACTTTTTAAATCACCAATTGGGTTAAAACGACCTATCTAGCTGCGGTTATGCCTTGATTGTGCTGTAGAAGTACTAAGCTTCCATTTTAAAGTTCACGAATGTTGCGCTTGCCCAGCTACCACCCACTGGCCACCCACTGGCAGGGATTACTGTCCTCTGGGGTCTTATCATGGCACCACACGCACACTGAATGGGAGCAGGAAACCCAAACTGGTGGCCATTAATTGCCGCCTTTCGATTATCCTTGCGACAAATATCCATTTGGCAGCCGGCCAGTCAGGATTTCTGTTAGCCAAATGCTCCGCTTGTTTACTAATGTTGTATGTGCCATTCCCCACTGCCATTGCACTAATTGCAATTTTAGGCACGTTCCCTGGCCATTTGCATAACACGAATTCGCCATATAATTGTTCAAAAAATAGATTCAAAATCGCACATGCACATGTCATCGAACGTGGTGTCAAAATCCCAGGCAGATGTGGGAAAAAATCGAATTATAAATCCGTTGGTTGTTGGCCAGCGCTTTAATTGCGCCATGTTGGTTACAAATCGAAAATCCCTGCCAATGGATTTTTGTTGTTAAGCCAAAGTGCAATTTGTTGTCGAGTTTTGAATGAATTCCTTAAGAGAGCATAAATTTTACAAGCACATGGCACTGGTGGCTTGGGAATGGGAGTGAAGTGGGGATCGGGAATTGGGGCGTGCCCGGTAAAGTGTCAAGTTTATTACGGACTGGGGGAAACTCGACTCGGTGTCAAAATGGCAGCACAGCTAAAAATTTGTGCAAATTTTTCAATTTCCAGTACTAACGTCCTGAACTCTCGGCGTGTGTGTGTGTGAGTGTCAGTAAATCCTGGCGCCTGTGCGTTTTTCAAGCTGCCAGCAACAACAATAGCAATTCCCATACCGAAAGGCGAAGTGAGTCGAAAACCAAAGCCCAAGTTCAAACACAATATCTCAAAAATGCACAGGCAACTGCAGTCTTTTCAGTGGTAGTGGTGGCTTGAGAAATACACTGCCACAGAAAACCTATAAGAAACTGTATACTAAGAAAATAGCTAAAAGAATTGTTACTAAATTGTGTTAATAAATTATAAGAAAATGTGGTTTATTTTTAAAATGCTCCACTGAAAGTGCAAAAAACATGTATTTTTCATGCAAGTTTCATCGCTTTCGCCAGTGTTCGAATGCGTTCCTCATGCGTTGCTCAGCCGCTGCCTTGCACCTCTGGAATTGAATGGTCGAAGGCCACGCCCCTCCGAGCCGTAACAGAAGATAAATGACAGAAGTGAGCCATATCAGACACAGTCAGCAGCCAGGACGAGGACGAGCACGAGGACTAGAACCAGAAACCAGCAACCAGCAACCGGCAACCGGCAACCAGCGGCTCTAACTGCTATGCATTTGGCCCTGCAGGTTGGCCATAGAGGACACAATTTGCCATCTTGAGGCTGCAGACGTCAGCCGTCGTCAAGTGGAGTCCTTTTGTCCCCATCCCCCCGCTCCATGGTCCATGGTCCTTGGTCAACTTTGCATTTGATTAAAGTCGGATAGCCGCCTCTGATGAATTGCACATGTGGCAGCTCTCGCCTTTGTGCCCTTATGCCATTATCAGGCAAAGTCACGACAAAGAGGCGTATACGTAATGCGCATTACGTATACGCACTCTCCTTTCCAATTCCCCGGCTCACCTTCACCTTTCGCTTGGCCTAGAGATTGGTCTCGCAATCTCAATGGCGGAGTGGGTAAAAATTTAATTTAATATTCATACGGCTGTAAAGCGCTACAAAAGTCGCAATAAATGAAACGGACAGAAAATGCTCCTTAAATAAAGCAAAAAGACCAGAACATAACTGCGAAAGTACATATGCATGGAATAAAATGGAGAGGAAGACACCCATTTGTCGCAAAAACGAAGGTAAAATACACTGATCTTACCTCTTCTCAAATGAAATATTACTATATAATAGAATTGTAGCTATTGGAAAAAATACAACTTTCACTAGATAGGTAAATTATTTTAATGGCATTTTAGTTGAGACCAAACATACATTTGGAAATTTAATTTTTGAAATATTTATTATCAATTTCGTTCCAGAGAGTAATAGCAATGCACCATGACCACGCACTCGAAATTCTTTCCGTAAGATCTGTCGCCCAAAAATATGACACTGAGCCGCAGAACGGGTGGTTTTTCGGCAGGATTGCGTCCCCAGAACGTCATACAAAGTAAACACGCTCCGCACTCGGCAATGACAGTGGGCATGAAAATTTATGGCTCCTGCCCCCGGAACTCCAGGCTCCAGGACTCCCGTCGCAGAACGCCAGGCGTCGGCGTTCCGAGTCCGCGGCGCATTAAATTTTGGACGGCAGGACGATGTCTGCCATGCAACGTGGCAAACTGTGGCACTGACAAAAGTTGGAAGTGTTGGCCATGGCCAAAACGCGGCATGCGGTGGAGAGAATTGCGAACGCAAATTGCAATCCAGGAAAATGAATTCCAGCGCATGGAAGAGCTGTGAAGGATCTCCTTGCTTTATGACTCTGTAGTTCGAAATATACACTTTTTAATATGCATAAATTGCTCACTTACTTTATTTGCTTTTTTATTCGGCTAGCCGAGCTACAAATAAATAAGTTTCGTAAATACCTTTTACAAATATGAATGAATATGGTTAAACAAATGGTTTAATCCTTGGAAGATTAATCCTTTTTTTTGCATTCGCACTATTCGATAGTATCATTGTAAAAATTTTTATAAATATTTGGCTGCCGCTTATTTTTATGTAAAAAAAAGTTTGAATGTTTTAAATCCACTTTATATGTGAATAAATTCAACGTAAATACAAGTTTTGGCAATGCATTTCATCAAATTCATGAGGAAAAACGCGTATTCACGGGCATGAGTATACATTTCATATCACAATAACGAGTACATGTTCATGAGTTTCTGCAACAGCTGAAAAATCGCTCAAAAAAGTTAAGAAGTAAAGCGGCTTGGGCCTTCAGGGCTGACAGCGAATTCCTCACTGGCCCACAGTAATTGTCCTTCCTGTTGTTGTGCATTTCTGTCTGTGTGTGCGTGTGTGTGTGTGATGTCCTGACAGTTGTCAGTGCTCTTGACAGCATATCGCTACATATGTGTGCCTGAGTGTGTGTGTTGCGTGGGTGTGCAGTGAGAGGGTGTGTGTTTGTCTATGACAGCTGCTGCCGCGAAGCCGTTGACAGTTGTCAATGTTATTAGCGATATTAAGGAAGCGCCGGAAGTTGCATGTGGCAGTGGCCATGTGGCAAGTATCTCACGCACGATTCCCACAAGGGCGTCTTTTCTTCAATTCAAAGACTGTTCTAAATTCGTTTTCAGCAATTAGTTTTGATTGGTAAACTGCCGTCAGCCATAAAAACTAATTTGCAGTTCGCCTTGAACTTTTAAGTGTCTACTATTTTCATAAGGGAAAATATATTTGATCTCCCCGTTGTGCATGGAAGTCGGGGTAAGGGGCTGCTATAATCTTGCACAAATTGTCGAGCACAACCTTGGCTTCTCAGAGATATTACGCACTCATCCCAAGTGGCTTTGGCCAACAGATTATCCGTAAAGTTAGTAGGTTATAAAAAGCAAAACAAATATCGGCAGACTGTTAATCAAGGCCTTCCGGGACTCCCCCACAGTCCACTCTAATTGAGTTTTGTGCGTTGGCCAGATACAATTTTCTCCTTGGCTTCGTGCAGCTTGTTTGTGTTTGTATCCAATATCTTGTGGCAGATTCCCTTGAAGTCAAACAGCATTTTCCTTATCTACAACCTCCCACGGACCACAAAACTTCATCCATGCTCCCCAAGCAGCATACATGTATATCCCACCATTGACTGCACACGTAGTTGCTGATTGCGAAGCAAATATTGACAAGGCCGTAGGAGCCATGCGAAATTCCTAGCCATTTTTTCCAGTTTTCTGTAGCGACCATTGTTGTCCAGTTAGCTGTGCTACAGGTTTTACTCGCTATCGCGAAAGGTGCTGTTGAAAGGAGCCCTTTTATGTTTACATTAGTAACAGCTTGACTTTCATTTAAGATAACTGACCTTCCATTCCTTCAGCACATGCATACATTTTTCCATCTGGTGCTGGCCCCACTGTGCAAAATCCACAGAGACGTTTCTCTTATTTTTTCAGTCTGCCATATCGTGTTCCATGTTGACGCACTAGCACAAAAGCTGAAATTATATTTAAAACTCCGCCTTCCTGCCTCAGTTCCCAGTTCTCCGTTGCCTTTTTCTGTTTCACTTCCTTGGCTTGTGGATGGCATGTTATTTACTTTTGTGGTCATCGTGGGCCATCCTTGGAGGCCCCCAAAAGCCCCAAAGTTATAATTCTTTAAGTTTTTATCTGCCCCACACATACTTATGGATAGTCCAGATGGAGGGTCCTGTGGCTCGCTGGCTGCTTAAGTGGGCGTATTCGCCATATCTGAGCCATATCTACTGAATGGGGGCCACTCCAGCCATAATTTTAGCATATTAATGATTTATGACGTCTGGTGGAGAGCGAACGAATTAACAGCAACAAAGGCAGCAACAACGGCACTAAAGTTCCTGTCTATTTTCATTTAGAATTCGCTTAATTTTCATTCGCTCCCTAATGAAAATGTCGGACAACAGGCAGCGCGAAAAAGTGCAAATTTTGCCAGGCTCTTTGTGCCAGCTTCAATTTTAATTAAGAGTGGAGTCTTTGACCCGGTTCATTTGGGGCTCTTCCATGCGGTGTGGTTTTCTGCTTACTTTAAGGCGATTTATGGCCACACAACAAATTTGTTGGGATAATGATGCCATTTTTCCTGCCCAAATTACCTGACCAGGCCCACGGGGCGGATAATCCAAGGCACCTCAAGCCATCTCCGCCTGAAACACGCAAATAAAATCAGGCCAGAGATGGGAGATGCCTCAAGTCATGTGTGCTTTTTATTAGGAGAAACTGCACGGAGATGTGAACTTATTTTGGAGCTGGTTCCTTGTACAAATTAGAATAATATATGTTTTTCATTATATATCTTCTAAGGTGATAGTAATAGTGTGGCTCATAAAACTACACCTTCATCTGGCCAAAATCCACTTGTCTGAAATTTTATATTCTGTATTTCTATATTAGTTTGCAAGCTAGTTATTTTTGCGAAACTTGACATCTCCATCTCGGCCATCGACTCAGCTCAGGTTGTCGATGGTCCAGCAAGATTTGCCAACTCAGCGGGAATATTTGCTCTGGCTTACCATTAAATAAGTACCTGCCATAAAGGCCGAAGATACTTAACCTGAGCCGTTCTTTATCCGCCATTTCGGGCAAATGGCAAACAAGCAGTGGCGAGTTGGCTAGTAGAGCTGCCAGAGCACTGCTCAAATTTCCATTTAATTAGCGGCCACGTTTGTCAGGCCAAATCAGGGCGGCAATGCCATCGCCAGCAATGCAATGAAAGCAAACCGAAGTCTATTAAGCAGGCAAAGCCAAAATGGCAACGTGGCGCTCCGATTTAATGCCAATAAACCGCGTGAGCCATCGACATCCGAGCCAGACAACCGGCTACCCGTAACCAAGTTAACCAGCCAGAAGCAGAACAGAACCCGGCTGAAACACCAAACCATGTGGGGGACCCTAAACAATGCGCCAACGGGGGCATCTGGGGATGGGGGGGGGGAGGTCAAGGAGGAGGGCTGGAGGAAAAGAGTAATCTAGCAACTGAATGTGCAACATGCCAATGCACATGATGTGTTTAATGGTTAAATTGTTGCTAATTCCATTAGCCGTTTGCTGACCTGCATTTAGCCAGCCTCTCAATGTGCTGCAGCATGCACAAGCAGAATTGAACTCGGCTCTAAAATTAGGTTTACTATTAATCTCTAAATGAAACCTTTTTGTTAATGAAGAACAAAAATTTAAATTTATCTTTAGGCGCGATTTTCAACTCTGAAAATGCCCATAGTATGGGCTTTGAGCCCATAGTAGGTCAAGCAACTTGCATCGCTAGATGTAAAATCCTTTCGAAAATGGCCTTTTGTGATCCTGGATTTTTCTCAGTGCTTAGTTGTGTGTGTAAGGACCTGCTTGTGGTGGTGTGGGTGTCCATGTTGGTGTGTTTGTTGTTGTGTTTGTGGCCAAAGTGTTGCACTGCCCCCAGCTCCATTGAACCAATGAGAAGACCGATACCGGGACCGGGCCAAAACCGAAAGGAGACCCGCTGGCAAATGGAACGTGCACAAATTAATGTTACGTTGACGCAATGTTGGCAAGGCTCGAGTACCGTGACCCCTGCCCCCCGCATCCGTGTCCTGGCCAGTCCACGAAACCGCCCACCAGACCACCCAGCCGCCTCAAATTTGGCACATTGTTTGCCAGGGTGTGCAGATTTGTCAAACGTGCTTCGGGGCGACGGAGGGGCGATGTTTGAGTACCGGAGCTGATTGGAAATGCCATGGATTTTGGGCCACTGACAAACGTCCAGGAGCAACAATCCCGACGGGGGATGCCCCACACTCTGCAGCCGGAAGAAATTAGCCTGATGATTTTCCAATGGCTTAAAGAGCTGCCGTAATGTGGCCTAAATTGCTGCGGAGTTAAATGATTCCGTTTTTTTGAACTAACTAAATCGTAATTAAAGGTACCACATGAAATACAAATTCAGATATACTTAAAACGAATATATTTGAAACAGATTTGCCACTTTTAACTCCAGCCCGCTCAAATTTATTCAAACGTATTGAACTCCAACTAGCTAAAAGCCAGAAAAGGTAAAAACCCCTTTCAAGGATTTAAAATTTCAGCATCAGAGATTTTTGGCATCCAAGCGCCCCGAATTAAATGACTTGGCCCACAGAAAGCGCTGGAACGTGGGGAGCACATAAAATTTGTTTAGTATGTGCACTAAAGTAAACGCGACAGGGCATCAGGCCGCACAAATGGTTATGGGGCTCCCCTGCCGCAGGCTGGGATCCCCCTTTTGGCTCCACTCCGCCTGATTCATTCAGTTAACGCGTCGCAGTGGCGTAGTTGGCACTTTTCTATTTATTTGCCCATTAACGCTCATTTGCGGTTATCAGGTAAATTGGATAAAAGCCAACGTAGCATGAAGCCTGCTCCTCCTGCTCCGCCTGCGCCGCCCACTGTGGAAAATCCTGTGGAAAGTCCTGTTTTGCCACTCCTCTCCCTGCTCCCCACTGCTTATCTTGGAGTGTTGTTGCAACATGAAGCGAAGGCTTTGGCTTCGACGTTGCCCTCTTTCCACACTGCGCACAAAAATTGTAATGAGCTGGTGAAGCAAGCTTATAGAGTAAGCCAATTAAAAAGGGAAACTGTAAGCCCAAAAAATATGAACAGCATCCTATGGCTGCATGCTTAGAGTAGCCCAAAGGACAAGAGACCTTTGAATAATTTATGATTATCCAATCTCTCTCAGTGCCGAAAGGAAATGAAAATCTTCCTTCAAGTACCTCCACACCAGCCGTATTTATTTCGCTTTCGCGTTAACTGCGCCAGTCATTAACTTTTTACGACTGTTTGATCCCAGTCAGCCAATCCACTCGCAAATATATCAAAATTCAAATGCAATCCAAATATTTGCGGTGACATAGAGCCAGCCTTGGTGTTGGCAAGCAATCCGCAATTTGTGTGGCCTCATAGATAAAACGTTTTGTTGCCGACTTATGGGGTCAAATAAAATTTCATATTCACTTTGTGGCAAATATTTTTCCCCTTCGACGGAGAGCGCATTTAAATGCACCATGTTGCAAAGCTCAAATGAAATTTTGCGGCTTGTTGCAAAACAAAAAGCTGCAAAAAGCAAAAAGTAATGTAAATAACAGCGAGGAAAACGCGCTGCAACACAATACTCATGCACATGCGGCTGCATTGTGGCTGGGGATCGGTGTTGTCCTTTGTCCTTCGTCCTTCGACGCCGTCCACTGCATGCGGTCGCTCAATATGAAAGTGCCTGCAGTGAAGGCGCAGTGATGCACTCGGAGAAAATCTGGGAAATGCAGTCCACGTTGCCGTGTTGAAGATTTTTGTCCATTTTATTTGACAAAAACTATACTTTGAGTTTATTTTATAGAGCATTTTAGCACGAAAAATTTATTTAGAAAATATTAAAAATAGTATGCTTAAATTTGTAATTTAAAATGTATAGTTTAAACATTGTAGGAGTGCAAAAAATATTACTATTGTAAATTTTTAAAAAATAGTGATTGGATTTTTTCTTTATTTGAATAAGCTTTAAGTCAAGCTAAGCAGGAGAAAGGCGGGCGAAAAGGGGCGTGTCAGTTGGTCTGCGGTCGGTTTGCGCTAAATTAAATTTTGCTGCGGTTGCCCCAAAGTCCAACACACTTGCACCACACACACACACACACTTGGTGGCACACTCGTATACAAATTACTATTGCGCCAAAATATAAAAAGCGAAAAGCCAGCAGCAATCCTCATACGAAGGCAACATCTGCCCACTGCACTTATGCAACATGGCTAAAAATGTAAAAAACGAGAGTAGAACTACAAATATAAGCGCTTCCTTCTATTTCCGCAGCTTGGTGTATTTCAGTTCGACGTCGCCATTGAGGAAGATGCCCATTCCGGAGTCCGCACCCAAAGGCACCTTCTTCGTCTGCTCCACCTGGTAATTCGAAAGGATGTGCAGGATGGCCGTCTTGACACTCAGTTGGCCCACCCGCATACCTGAAAATAAGCGTGTTACAAGATTAAGATTATTGGAACCCATATCTTATAAAAACTATAGCCAAAATGTTTCTGGACTCACCTAAACATATACGAGGACCATCGCCGAAGGGCAGGAAGCATCCTCGTTTGTTGAGGACACTCGCCGCTCCGTTCTCGAAACGATCCGGCCTGAATTCACTGGCCTCCGGATAGATGTCATCGTCATGGTGGTACTGATAGGCTGGAACCATCACGGTGACTCCGGGCTCCAAGTCCAGGGTTTTATCACCTCCCAAATCAATCTGAGTGCGCTTGGTGCAGATACGCGTGAAGAAACCAATGGGAGTGGTCAGTCGGAGCGATTCTGAAAGTATATTTCAGATAACTTAATTGGATCTTGATATTGTAAGAAGTTAAGTAGTATAGAATCCCACCATTGAAGCACTGGTCCAGATAGGGCAGGTTATTGATCTGATCGTAGCTGATACTGCCCTCGGAGGCCAAGGCATCTAGTATTTCGGAGCGCAACTTGTCCTGCTCTTCGCGGTGTTCGCTCAGCTGATAAGATATAGCGTTAATTATATACTCGTATGAAGCATAAGCTTAAGAAATTGTGAAGTCGACCAACCGAATAGAGCATGTGATAGAGCACAGCTCCTGAGGTTTCGTAGCCATCCAGGTGAACGGTGAGGGCATGGCCCACCGAGTCGTGGATGGTGTTTCCCCGCTGCTGCAGCTGCATGAGGTGGGATAGGTAGTCCGTGCGACCCTCGCCACTTCCACCTCGCCGGAGATTCACTGCATCCTGGGTGAGTCGCAGGTAGAACTCATCCGTTGCCTTGGTAAAGAATCGCATGCGGAACAGCTTTCGCACGAAGGTGGCCACCAGAGTCTTGTTGAAGCGGATCATCGAGCTGAAGGCGTAGGCAGTCCAGTCCGTGGAGGTCTTCTGGAAGATCCCGATCTCACCGACTTTGCCGCTGAGTGAGCCTGCATCGATGCCCCATATGAAATCCGCCATCGTATTGGCTGTAAATCGATAGGCTAGCTGAAGAGTGACATTAGCTTGGTTGAAATGACCTCCGGTCTAGATGCTCACATCTCTGGTTTCGATGACATCGCCCTGCTCCCGCCTCGCCCGCTCGATATACTCGACCAGCTTCCGGCCACTCTGCTCCCAAATGGTGTAGGCGAGTTTCAGTCGACTGGATGTCAATCCGCCCACATTTTCGAAGCGCAGTCGCTTCCATTTCTCGCCAGCGCTAAAAAAGGGCGACCCCGCCACGTACTTGTCATCCGGATTGTGGCCCACAAAGCTGCTAGTGATGGTGTCCCGAAAGTGGCTGAACTTGTCCACCAAAATCTCATGGGCCAGGGCGGGATCCAAAACAAGGAGCTGCGGCTGCCGCGTGATGAAGGTTCCGACTGCTCTGTACTTATCCTTGTATTTACTGGAGGAGCAAATGTTGTTAACAAACTCCGATTAATAGTGATGCTCACTTGTAGACATCCTGAACATCGAGAATGAGGCTGCGGCTCTTGTTGACCAGAATGCCCGGATAGGTGCCCAAAATGGTCAGTGGCTCGGCGGTGACCAGTCCCCGCTTATCCCAGTACTTGTGGTACCAGGTCAGGTAGAAGTAGACCACGGCAAAGGCCACATGAACGAAGGTCAAGCACAAAACCACTAGGGTAAACATGGCTGCCACCAAGAAATCGATCTGATCCCCACCAGGTTCTCTAGAAAACTGGCAATGGAAATGGAAACGTACTTTATACGTAGGCACTCTACTGACAAGACCAATTAATTTTTAATCGGCATTTTGCAATCATCTGCGTATGTTGCTATGTTTCGAGGACTTAATCGTTTTGGCTTTGATTAGCTGCAGTTCAACTTGGGTATTCTATTGCTATCAACGCGCTCTAATCATTTCATAATACTTAATCAGTGAGTGCTGGCAATTAATTATATTTATTGAAAATACTACAAGTCTATCTCGAAAAGCGGCGGTACTCCAGATTAACATTTCCCTGCAGAACGACACCAAATCCAGCATCTCCCTTCGGAATCAGTACTTCCCGTCCACGCACCACTTGAAAGTTGCTGAGGATGTGGACTAAGGCCGATTTCAGGGTGAGCATGGCCAGTGGAATACCTACGAAGAAACAAAAAATAGCACATGACTATATGTTTATATTCAAGCTTATAGGGACTCACCCATGCAGATACGGGGGCCATTGCTGAAGGGCAGAAATATGCCTTTGCGCAACAATTCCTGGTAGGCGCCATTATCAAATCGCTCTGGCTTGAAGGCCTCCGGCTCGGGGAAGTATTGTTTATCGTGATGGAACTGGTAGTTGGGTATCATGATCGTCATGCCAGCCTCAACATCCAAGCTTTTAGATTCGCTCAGCTGAATGACGGTGGGAATTGTGCAGACTTTTGTGTACTGCGGTATCAAGCTGCTGAGTCGCAGAGACTCTGGAATATTGAAATAGATGATGAGATTGAAATAGCAAAACCCACATATACGTGTATACTAACCATAGATCACTTGCTCCAAGTAGGGCAAGGCAGAGAGCTTCTCAAAGTCGAGACTCTTCTCCGATTCCATGCTGGTGAGGATTTCCATTCGCAGTTTCTGCTGAGCAGCCGGACTCTCCGCCAGCTAAAAATATATGATCTTAGATCGGATTACAGGGTACTTCATTATGTCACCCACATAGTACAGAGCATGGAGGAGAGCTGTTCCCGAGGTATCGTAGCCATCCAACATCACGGTCAGGGCATGACCCACCAGATCGTCGTGGGTGGCCTGCTTCTGATCACGCAGCTGCAGCAGATGCGAGAGATAATCCGTGCGAGTGGAATCGCCACCACCCTTCAGTCGCAACTCAATGGACTCCTTGGTCAGGTTGGAGAAGAACTCGTCGGTCTCCTTGGGGTAGAAACGGAATCGCAGCAACAGGCGACTGCAGGGCGCCACAACGGTGGCCATGAAGAGGGTCAGCATGTAGAAGGCGTAATTGGTCCACCTGCTGGCCATCTGCTGCACCTTGTTGGGCTGCTCCAAGGGTCGGGTTAGGGTCCCTGCATCGATGCCCCAGATGAAATCCGCCATCACATGGGCCGTATATCGGAAGCAGAGCTGCAAGATTGATTTATAAGAATAAGATACTTGTAGTTGGTAAAAGAAGAATTGAACCCACATCTCTGGTCTCGAGGATATTGTTCTTTTCGGCCACCTGCTGCGTCATATAGTCGGTAAGCGACTTGCCACCTTGCTCCCAGATGTTATAGGCCTGCCTCAGCCGACTGCCCGAGATCCCAGCCTGCGCATCAGTACGGAGGCGCTTCCAGGATTGTCCGGATGCCCAGAACGGATTAAGGCGCGCGTACTTGTCCGACTTGGCATGTTGGAGGTACGAACTCTGCAGCGAGTCCTTGTAGCAGCGGAAGTTGCCCACCAGCACTTCGTGGGCCAGTGCCGGATCGAGAACCAGGATCTGCGGCTGTCGCGTCAGGAAGACGCCAACCGCTCGGTGTTTTCCCTTGTACTTGCTGGGAATATAAAAAGAGTTGTAGTTGTATCATTAAAATTAGAGATTTGAGGTACTCACTCGTAGACCTTCTGCACGTCGAGGACCAGATTGCTCTTCCGGGTGAGCAGGCCCGGATATGTGCCCAGCAGAGTCAGGGGCCGAGCTGTGACCAATCCCCGCTTGCGCCAGTACTTGTGGTGCCAGGTGAGGTACAGGTAGATGGGCAGCACCAGGAGGTGGAGCAAGATCAGGGCCAGCGTCACCAGGATGTACATGTTTCCGCGCTCCGTGTTGCTGCACGCGCCTCTGGCTCTCGACCAGTACTGACCGATCGGATGGAAGCCGTAGCTGAATCTCTCCGGCAGCATCGCTGACCGGAATTGATTAGAGAATCAGTCTCGACACACAAGTATGTTTATTGATAGCTGACTTATCAGCTACTGATTGTTTGTATTTTAATCTATTTTTACGCTGAAAACTAGCAGCAGTAGTCCAGTTTTATCATCAATGATGTACAGCTCGTCTGATTTGCCTGGGGAGCATTGACAAATCGCCCACTAATTACAGACCTCAAAAGATTAAATTTAAAACAACATAAAAAGTTGTTTCAACATTTTAAAGCTATATTTTATTAGCTACCTAGAGACCCGGCTTAATCAGTGTTAAGCAAAGGAATGATGAAGAACTGAATGAATATCTCCTCCTGGCTATCGCCCTGCATCACCAGATGCAGTTCCAGCAGGCCAACGGAGTTGGTTTTGATGGCCACCTTGGTGGCCGACTGCATGGCCTTGTTGGTTATGCGGATCTGCTGGCTCTTGTAGCGAGCCACCACTGTCTGTTTGCAGTTGAACATCATCATCATGGGACTGGTTTTGGCCACCTCGACGCTGAATACCGCCTGCATGATCCCGACTGTGGTGATCTTAAAGTGCGGACGGTTCGGCGATGTCACGAACTCGAATTCCTCCGCGGACTTCTCCAGTTCATGGAACACCTTCGATAGATTTGGTCCGCGTACGAAAATAACATTTAGATCCGGATCCTTTAGATTCTGATCGTAGTCGATTGGTTCATCGCAGTCCATTGTTTTGATGGCGCACTCCGTGCTCACATCATCGTCATCGTGTGGATACAGAATGATCCTCAGGGGATCGCCCTTATCCTTGTACATCATCCGCAGGCTGCAATCGGCGGATCCGAAAAGATTCAGGCACTCTGAGAGCACATTCATTTTCAGACCGAAGCACTGGAAGTCCTGCACACGGAACTCCATGAATGCGCCCGGCGGCATGAAAAGCGTAGCCTGGATGGACTTGCCCTGCTCCACGGTGATGCGTAAGCCATCTTCGGAGACTTGCAGCATCCCATACTGGTGGTTGAGCAAAGTGAATTTTGTCAAATAAAGTTGGTTTAGGGATTCAGAGTCTATGAGCTAATCCTTACATCATTGAAGCAGATTGACTTGATGGCCTGGGTTAAGGTCTTGATGTGCTCCACTCGAGCGACGAATTTGCAGTCGCCGTAGGGCGATGGCTCCACATCAGCCATCCTAGTCCCGAAAGACGTCCGTCTGCAGCTCCTTGATATCCTCCTTCTTAAGGGTCTGCTCGGTGGTTTTCCTGCCTGTGTGCTTTAGAAATTGGTGGAGCCGCAATGCCAGGATGTGCTGGCAGGTGTAGGACACCCGGCTTTCCTCGCTCCAATCCTCCAAAATGCCCGGTTGGCCACTGGGGACGTCGTGGTAGAGGATGCCTCGCGGCAACTGCAGCACGTGGCACTGGAAGAACTCGCACTGGCAGAAACTTACACCCGGAATCAACCGGAAGATCTCGTTTCCCTTGGAAATTTCTACCACGCGCACGGATCGATTGTTCTTGGCGTGGAAGAAGGTGAAGTTGTGGTCGTCCAAGAGGTGAAGCGATCTCAGGACCAGTTCTTGGCCCAATAAAGTGGATAAATCGTAAAACAACTGCCCACGTTCCTCTATAAAATTGGAAATGCTAGGTAATTCTATGTCAGGTAACATTCTATCTCAATAGTTCTCACCTCCTGTTAGGCTCTTGGTCTCTGCTTTACTCCGATATAATTGGAAGACTTGATCAACCAGATGTGGAACAAAACAGGATGTAGTGTTGTCTGATTCAAACGCCATTCAGGAAATTTTTTTTTGAATGGCGTTTATTGAGAGAATTTTATTTATAAACAATACCGCCAAAAGCCGGCAAGGCGTCATCAGCTGTTTTCAACAAAAGTCTGGCAGCGCGGCACATTGTCGATTTCAATATTAGGGTGCCCAGTTCTTTGGTATATCGTTCGAATTTAAATGAATCCAGTTTTCACGCCAATTAACTTGAATACAGAAAAAGTTCTAAATTGCTTATCTAATTCAAATTGGAACTTTCAAAAGTGGTATTTTTAACTTTTGCGAGCACGCTGGCACTGTCCTTCATGCAAGCCACTTTTATCTATCCAGCACATCCCCTTAACTGAAAATAAAACCACAATTCCTCTTGGTTCGGATTGGTAAAATCATCTTCGAGATCTAAAATCTTCTACACGTTAATTCAATGTAGTGCACTACTTTCTATGGATTCTTTTCATAAATCTGTGAGAGGTTTAGCGGGGATTACCGCCGTTTTTGGTGCTATTCTAAGACATTAATCATTAAGATCTAACAAAATACTACTAGTAACTCTAAATAATGTTCTCCTTTTCGTGTTTGATGCCACTGCTGCGTCGCTTGACGTTCTGGATCTTCATCATCTTGTTCTCGTCGGCGCACTTGGTGGTGATGGCATTGCGCACCTCCTTCTCGCTGGCATTGCACTTGTGCGTCACTGCGAAGATGATGTCCTGGATCTTCTGGGGATCCAGCATACGCTTGAGGGGCTTGTCCTGATCCTTGAAAGCGGGCGACGGCTTGCCCGTCATCGAATGGGTGGCCAGAGTTTCCCGGTCGAAGATCGAAACCAGTAGTTTTCGGGTGGCCAGCGAGGAAACCGACCAGTTGATATTCTCGAATACACTGGCGGGCACACAGGTGTTGTTAGGGCCAATGGACACCATCACGTTGTCCATGTTCTGCTGTTGGCTTTTGTTGAGATCGGTTAGACTGCCATTACGGATTTTGACTTGGGATTTGGCTGGTAGTTTGATGTTCTGCCGCGGGACTTCTTCCTGCAACTGAATCTCTTGCAGCTTGCGACGTTTGATGAACTGTTGTGGAGTGCCGAAGGATTCGACATCTTCCCTTTTAATGCCGTTACTAATCCTGTACTGCTGCTGGGACTGATGGTGATTGCTCTGCTGTTGATTCTCGTCGCCCAGGCAAATCTCCAGGCGATCTGAATCCGCTGAGGTGCTTAGGCTGTTCAGACTCTCCGCCGCCAGGCGAATTTCGATGGCATCCGTATCGTCGGGTGCCGAGATGATCTTGTAATCCAGAATCTGGGGATTCTGCGCGGGCGCACATATCACCGAACTCGGTGGCGTCAGGATCTGGTGGCTCTGAACCGCGGGCGGTGTGGGTGGTCCACTTTCTGCCAGCAAGGAGGAAGCCTGTTGCATCCTGGCGGAGGTGGCATGAATCTGGGAGAGCAGATCCGTGTGCTGCTGCAGTTTGGCCTCCAAGTAGCGCACTTTATCGCGGAGCGCCCTGTTCTCCGCCTCCACTTGGGGATCCGGCGCAGAGATGCTGCGGAGCAGCTCAAAATCCTCGCTTGAAGTCTGCGACCAGGCATTCAGACACAAAGTCTTGCTCCTCCTTGCCTGGGAATCATCGCGTGCAGTGGCGTTGACTATGCGCTGATATTGCTGCAATTTTATGGGATAAACTGATCAACGTGTTCCGACGGAGATTTGATTTCCTGCAGCTACTCACGTTATCCATGTTCAGTCCTCAAAGGATCTGCGTCAACTGAAAATTGGCGGCAGAATGCGAAAAGCGGTTGCATTCCAGGGGTGGTTTTCGGTTTTCCACCGATTCTCTGCTTCCTCTGCTTTCCTTTCCAATTCCCCGCGAGGCAAAACAATAGTTGTTGCCAGTCACACGAACGCTACCTGCACGCACACATGCGCAGTCAAACTGCACGCATGTGCAGGGAAGATGAAGAGCGCGTCTCCGTGGCGTGCGCGTGTGTGTGTGCGTGTGCCCTCCAGGTAGCCGATATCCTGTTCCTGTTCCAGGACCTCTAGTCTATTTCCCAACTAGTCCAAGTCCAGCTGTCTTTTCTTTCCAACTTTCGTTTTTGCATGGGTTTCGTGTTTGCGCGGGAACCAGTGCCAGGGTTGTAGTGTTTGCTGCATGGCAAACAGAGTTGACGAGCTGTGCAATTATTCGGCAACGCAACTATCGGTTGGAAGTCCAAGGGTTTTAAATGAATATAATAATTGTTATGAAATTATTTATGTTATCGTTATTTATGTTATCATATCGGCTTCCACTAAAAAATTAAAATAAGTTAAGGTAAACTTAAATGACCGTTTTTTAAAGTGTTTTATTTTTAAGGTTAATTGAAATGAATGATGATATGGTTATGCCAAACATGTACTTTTTAATGTGTTAAAACTACAAAAAACATTTTATTCAGTCCGTTTAAAGTAACTTAACTATAAAGTACTTTATTATGGAAACGTTGTCTCAGAATATACGTTTGGTTACATTTTTGTACTGTGCACTTTGGCGAAGGTCAGAGAAAAAAGTAAATGTAACAAAAGAATGTGTAAGAATTCTTTTCCCACTCCCAAGAACCCAAAAGGACAATAGTTGGTTTTTTGTAAATAACCGGTTTTCAGGACCCAGGCTGCATGTAATCCATTGCAATTTGAATGTATTGGGAACCCTCCCAATACATGGGATCCTTTTGGAATATAACTCATCGCTCAGATGCTCTCTGATCGGAAAAACACCCTTAAATTCCATTTTAGAAGGGATACCTATTGAAGGGTAAGTCCACTGGAATTCTGCCAGGTAGGTCGTCCATTGTGATGCATTTTGAATGTGCAGAATATAAAGTGCTTTTCGACGAGATACAGAACTTTAAGATAGCATTATTGTTCAAGATGGCGACCGATTTAACAGCGGTTAAGTGATTATTTCTTAGTTTGACTGTTGGGTGCGCTTTATGGGCTGGTGGAATCATGGTCCGTACTTCTTTAAAAACGATGATTATTTTAAAACACTTTCGGTGAACGCCAATATTATGTTCAGCTTAGTGAAATATATTTTACAAATGCTACATTTTAGGACTTCCGAGTTTATTGAAATCTAAAGACGAATATTAATATCGTATGCAAATGATCTCCTTTCGGCGACCTTGGCAGCCCTGTAAGATCTTCAGATACGCAGGTAGGATTGCCATCTGGCGCAAGGAACAATAACTGTTAAGAAGGGCCATAAATCACGGTTCCAAAACCGATTTGCCCAACGAATAATTCGCAAAATAAGCCAAGGAAAGCCAGCCCAGCACCTTTTGCCACAAATAAACCTTTTTCGCTACCTGTTGCCAATCCGCGTGCAAATGGCCGGCGGATTTCGCCCGTACGATCAGGACTCGTGCCCTAACCTTACAAATAGCGAGGCTCCGGGATTTAGCATGTCAGTCGTTCACAGAACGGAGCCGCACTACTTCCATCCGCAGACTGCGATCCTGCCCAGCGTCCAGTACTCCCACCCGTATCACCACTATCTGAGTCAGTTTGCCCCGAACTTCGTGCCCTACTACTACCGCCTGCTCTCGAGGCCCATAATGAAGCAGGAGGAGATGGACATCGAGAACTACATCAACTACGAGGTGGCCGCCCAGCAGACGATAATGCGCCAGCGGACTCTGAAGCCCCTGGGTCAGCTGCAGATCCAAATGCCGCCTCCCATAAAGGTCAACCAGCCAGTTAAGCCAGTTCCCGTGAAGGCAGTGCCTGTCCGAAGCTCTCCGCCCAAACGACGCGTCATCAATGCCCAGTTGGTGGCAATAGCCACCGCGTCCGGGGGCATTAAGAACATCGAGCCCACGGTGAAGCCACTGCCTCGCCCGGAGGAATCTTTTAAGCAGCAGGTGGCTAAAATACAGAAGAGCCAGCACCACTACGAACAACTCTTTGGACGTCTCACTTCCATGCTGAAGACCCTTAATCAGCGGTACGACAACGATGCCGAGGACGTGCCCGCGCCGCCCTCCAAGAGACCGCGCCACATGTCCACCAGCTCGTCGGAATCGCATATCCCAGATACCGCCTCCGAAAAGGACGAGAAGGACACTCTGGTGCAGTACCCACACCGTGTGCAAAAAGAGGATGGTAGCGCGGTGTACGTACTGGGACCCAATGGCACCCAGATCACAGCACATCAGTACGGCGAGGTCTTCTGGACGAATGCCCCGGTGGCCACGAGGTGTCTCCTCTGCGTTGTCTTCAGCAGCGATGAGTTGGCCACCCACACGCTGACCGGGAAGCCGTCGCCTGCATTCTACGGCCGCGAGAGACCCCCCAAGCTCCAGTTGGACCAGCGCAAGGTAGACGACATTGTGGTCTGTGTGGGAAACCGGACGGGCGGCAAGGAGCGGGTGATTCGGGCCACCATCACCACCAAATGCGCGGATACCGCCAAGAAGTACAAGAGGCGTGCCAAAAAGGCCCAGAAGGTCGCTATCAAAGAAGAGTATTAGTTTGGAGTGGACAACTATTTGCTTGATATAATCCAGCTTTGATTTATCCTAAGAACTTCTCAACGACGCGCCACAACGGCGCAGAAAGCTTTTGTATATATTCGTAATAGGTCCTGCTTAAAGTAGCTGCATCACTCTGTTATATGATCTAGCTGTGATTGAATAAAGACAATATGAAACCTAAGTGGTAAACAAAGCCTGGATAATATTGAAAGGGATCTTGGGCTTCACTTTTTTGGATAAAGATACAGTTCACCCATTGCATCAAATGTTCTTCGAGTGCCAAGTCAACGAAATTGGATTTATTAACTCGATCCGGTGTTCTCTTCAATCGCAGCCATTTGCACTTGAATTTAAAAATAATTATAAGCTATGCCACACTACTATTTCTTCGCCTTGGGATCCCAGGCCTCCACTTTGTTGGGTGTTGTGGAGTAGGGGTAGTAGGCCTCTGCAAAAGGAGGTATTAAATAAGTGGGCTTACTAAGAGCCACAGTGCACAATTA